TCAAATACTTTATAGAAGGAAGCTTCGCTGATTAATATCAGAATTTTCCAGCTAAATTTCATTCGGAATTTCGTTTCCTTAAATAAGATTTCCAACTTGACCTAATCCTAATTGCTCTATTAAAATATCGAAGGAAATCAGACAAGTCAATTGACCAAGTCAGAAACGAGTTGAGGCCTTCGAACAAAAACAGGATTAGGGTTGATAGCCGCTGCAGCCAACTAATTGACTTATTGAGGGCCTCATTAACCCAGGCGGACCTGTACTGGTCCCGCTCCACGCTGGTACACCCCCGACTATTACTTAAAAAAAATAAAAAAATAAAAAGGGAAACGCTAAACGATGAATAGAACTCAGAACCAGGGGCACATTAATCAATTCCAATCAAACAATGAGCGATTCAGCTGAACTCGAAATGTTTTCCGTAAACAATGAGGATCTGGCCATCAATGAAAGTGAACAGGTTGGGAACTGGGAACTAAAAACTGAGAACTGAAAACTCAGAACCGAAAACTGAAAACTGGCAACTGAGAAATAAAAACCGAGAATCAAGAACTGAGAACTGAGAAATCGCCTAGGACAATGGAGAGGAAATGGTCAGGATCATGGGGTGTGTGTTGTTGGCTCAATCAATGCCGGCCAAACAAGTGTTATGAATGATTTGATGTTTTCATTTGTCCCCGCGTTTCTCCTTTATTCTTTTTCCCTTTTTTTTTTTTTTTATTTGATTTTCTTTTGGGAAACCAAACCCCAACAAACCGCACAAAGGCGAGAGTGAAAAATCCCCGATAATAGTTTGGATTTCACTTTCAGGGCTCTCTCGCCAGACGAACTGGCACCGTGGATGACCGCAGTCCGTATATATGTTTATGTTCTGTATATATGCTATACATCTGACATGATTTATGAGGATCCACACAGTATTCCCTGGCCCCCATTGTCCTGACCACGGATTTGTGTAAGAAATGCTGAAAAATGTTTCAATAAACTGTCGCAGGTTGCAGGTTGCACGTTGCAGGCTGCTCAATGGGAGGTCGCTCGCTCGGTCTCCCATAATCCAGCTTCTAAAACTGAAAATCTTTATCTAATAACCGGTTCGTGGGGGATTCGAGAAGCCAGAGACATTAATAACCTAATTGACCAACAGACAAACACGCTGGAAAACTACTTTTATAAGTAACTTACTTAACTCTTCAGTTCTGTATCGGAAGGCCTGGACATCTCCGCTTTGGGTCTCGTATATTTTGTAGTTGAGCTACTAAGAGAGAGGGCTGATTGATACATTGGTACATTGGTAGGTTCTGATGGTCAGGGGTAGTTAGTAACCTATGACTAACGTCCCCATTTCATCACTGACTATAAATTAACACAACCGAGCGAATCTCTTAAGAGGAATCTTCAACGAGGAAGACCTTCTTTTTCACGACCACGATTGCTTAGGCATTCTCACTTACCCCATCTTGAAATACAATTTTAACAAATACTACTTCGAAATTAAAGAAAATTGTGAATTATTATTATTATTATTATGCTTTTTTTGGCTTTCGAGTTCTTTTCGTTTTTCTATATTTGCCTGCGAGAATTCTTCGCCTCTTCTTTTGCTCGCTAAAAGAGAATATCGATAACCAACCAGGGAAAGTGAGCGCCAAAATTGAAAAGGCTTACAGAAAACTTGACGAAAATGTGTAAATATTTTAAGTATAAAAGTGAATTAAAAACAAGCGCCATAATCAAGTACTACGTCTATCAGTTATCTTCTATTGCGAACAGACGGCCGATGAGTTCGAGAACTTGTTCGCAATTTGTGAATGTAAAGAATGTGCTCTGCTTATATTCGTGTCCAGCTTAGCATTAGTTACAAGTTTTGACTTACAAATTTGTTTGGTAGAGATTTAAATATAAAGTCACCTTAGAAAACAAACTCAAGTCAATCTGAAAGGTATAGTAATCCCTTTCTACAACAAGTAAATTTGGAACGAATACAGGAATATTTTATTTAAACTTTTCATTTCAATAAGAAGCAAAAATTATATTTAAAAATGGAGTAAGTGAGAACAATATAGGCATTCGTGGTTAAGAAACAGATCGGAGTTACAAGTGATTAAATGTGGACTTTTGTCACAGGTCGCAAGGTGTTCCCTTTTCCAATGATGTCCCGGAGACAAGTGTTGACGATTCTTCGGACACTTACCTTACTCTCCATTTCCCTGTGGCCGATGTTTGCAAGGTCATGTCTGAAATCGGAGGACCAGTCCTGTTGAGCAAGTTGGTGGCCCACTTCGAGGTAAGGATTCACTCCGAAGTGGCTCTTTTTTCTAAAATTCATAAATGTATGTTAACGCAGGGTAAGATGGCAGCTGGAGTTAGGCACAAGGCGTCGAAGTTTGTATGCCAGTCGCTCGTAGAGGGCCTTAATCAAAAGAAAATAGGAAAGCGAAATGGAAAGTTCGTGCTTCCAGAGTTATTCAAAGAGGAAGAGACCGCGGAGGACATCCTGTATATAGCTGAAGAACAACCAGCACCAACTTCAGGACAAGGGAAGAGCGAGCTCTCAAAGATGTTTTCGAAAATGTATGAGGTTGATCGCACTTACAAAATGGGTCAAGAACGGATTAGGATGTACGAGTTCCTTAAGGAGGAAATTAAGTCTGTCGAAGAACTGATGGCCGCATCTCCAGAAGCTCATAGGAAATTTTCCATGGCACTGGATTGGATGATTCGCATGAAAGCAAGTGAGAAAGAAGAAGCTTTAGACCTCGCTAGAAAGTTTATGACTCTAATGGAAGATTAGTCGCCGTAAAGGAAGATGACGGCCGACTTGTTAATCAGTTTGGGATTTGGCCACTTGAAAAGTTCCGTTACAACCTAGTTGAGTGATCTGACCCGATTCGATATCCACTCCTAGAAGATTGAAACGTCAGGCTGGGGGCAATGACGAAGTAAACAAACGCTGGAATGAAGTTTATTAATATAAGAATTTGAAGGGAATATCTCACCTGATCAGTGGACAGATCAACTCGGTTGTTGGGCGTAATGAGGAATACACGAACCTTCTTTATGGGATGGGAATTCTTCCTATTCCTTCTCCACTTTATATTCATTTTATTCAAAATTCTTCATATTATATTATATTAATTAATAAATTGTGCCACATTCCCAATCGTAATTTATGTCTCGCAGCGTGCATACGGGCAGACGGACATGTCAATCGACTCGGCTACTGATCCTGACCAGTAATATATACATCATAACCATTTGTTATTCTTAATCATTAAAAAATGTAACTAATTTATATCTGCTGGACGACTACTAAATCTATTTCAAATCACATAAAATTTCACATAAGAGCCGCAGACTCTCGAGCCTGGGACTTGATAATCTTCTTCCTGTCTTTTGCCATCTTCAACGACTGCAGAGTCGGCTTGGCTTTATACATCTGGGAAAGCAGCTTGGAATGTTTTCCCTGGCGCTTTTTAGCGGGGAGTATTCTCGACCTTGGAGCTCGTTTTTTGAATTTCCAGAGTTGCTTCCACAATGACTAGATCCTTCATTTTAACACCACTCGTGGTGTTTTCGGTTGGAGAAACAAATTTAAATAAAATATTTCCCGATTCGAGTTTTTCTCTAAAATTGAGGCGTTACTCGAATAAAATCTAGGAAAGACTTTTGCTTGTTTCAACGTGAAGTCTCGCTTGAGTTTGTTTGCTAAGGTGACTGTGTTCTATGATTTTGTTTCGGTCAAACATCTTCTTACATTTCTGTTATAATTTGGAATTAACAGCCAAAAAGTTGGGATTAAACATGCAGATTCTAGTTTAGGCAGCGCTGAGAAAGTAGTTTAGCCAAACGTTAAGAATTTTAGTTTTGGACTTCAGTCCTTAGACTGCCTTAGCTGGCAAGTGTAATTAGTGATTATTATAATTCTTAAGGCTTTTTTAAATATCTGTCAATCTCCGCCAAGTCAAATGAAAAACTGAGCAGTTTGTTACTGACTTTTCTAGGTATTATTACAGCACTTTCTTAATAGTCCCTCCAGTAAAACCTTTATACATTTTTCTGCCAAGGTAGAACACCTTTTTTAGCCCATAAAAATAACGCGTAAAATTAAGACTTATTAACTTATATACTAATACTAATCTAAGGCATTTCTCATCTCTCAAAGGAACCTCAGAGACTACTTTTATAAGCCAATTCCCTAAGGTCGAATTCGTATTCGTTTTCCCTAAGATTTCCCCACAATTAGTTAGTGGCACAGCCTCCGCCCCGTTTTTCCAGTTCCCACACTTATTTTTTCCCCTGTTTTTGGGGAGGCGTGACTCTTGAGCGGGGGGGAGGAAAACAAACAACAAACAAGGAACAGACGGAGAAAAGTGGCAAATTTTGAAACAAATTTAATTTCCGGCCTTGGGTCAGATAGATTGGCAAACATCATTTATCATCTTGGGTCAATGGAGCAGGTACAGATGGACTTACCACATAAAGGGGGGTTTTCTTGCACTTTCCTGTTTTCCGTTGAAGAACGCCTTTATATTGACTTGTTTTCCACGTATATTGGACCATCAAACGAGTCATTTGTTGATCTATTATTGGTAGACAAGGAAAAATGGGAAACTTGGTGTTGTAGTTTAAAAATAATTTCTAAAATAAATATAAATTGAGACAGCATTTTCTGTAGTTGAAGTTTCTCTAACTACTCAAAAATTGGGAGATCTAAGAGCCCAGCATTTGCTGTCAACTTTTCCTAGGATTTTCTCCAGTCCGAAAAAAAAAGGATGCGGCCGTAAAAAAGGATTTTCGAGGATGCAAAAAAGGAAAAGAGTAAGAGCGACCGCCGCGTGTGGGAAGCGTGTGATGCAGGGCCAGGTAAACTGGCCTTGACTTCTGGGCATTGCATAAAATTTGCTAAGCGGCCACAGGTAGTCCTCTCTACAGATGACTCAACTGAATGCAACCCGCAGAAACCTCAGAAGGTTACTGGGAAAGGGAAAGGAAACGCAGTCTTTTGTCTTTAACCTTTAATCTTTTGTATTTATTTTACTGATCCCAGTTCGAGGGTTTTGGTTGGCAATTTAGCTATTCGTCGGAATCCCTGGGCATGCTTTCGGACGAGGTCCCAGGCTTGCGGCCCTTTTTCAGCACTTTGGAGGTGGCTTGGGCCCGGGGACTGGGTGGTTGATAGGGAAGCGGCTGTGATGGGGACTCCTCTTGCAGAATCTCCTCGCCTTCGCCGTCTACGAAACCAGAGTGTACCGTCTTGCGTTTGGGCCTCTGGGTAACGATCCTCCGTCCCTCACCCGTCCAGTAAACCCCCTCGATTTCACCATCCAGCACATGCTCGACCGTCTCCTGCTGGTCCTGCGGCTCGAGGGGCTCGTTGGCCTCCGCCGTCTCCCCGCCTTCCTTCTCGCTTGTCTCCGGCTGCTCAGAATTCGAGCCTTCACCATCTTTGCTGGCACTCATCCGCACCTCACGCATCACACTAAGCTCCTCATCGGTGAGATCCTCCGCGGAGATTTCGCGAGATCTGGGGACATACGGCTCGACCTCTTCGTCGTTGTCCTCCTGAAAGTCCTCTACCTCATACTCACGAACTTCCTGGGTTTCTTGCAGCGCTTCTCGCAGCTCCTTCAGCTGCATGGCCAGTCGCTTACGGAACTCCTCATTCTCGTCGGAATTGAACAGCAGCTCGTGATCCCCGGTCAGCAAGGGCAAGAACCGCGGTGGCACTGGGCGACCTCCCAGCAGATTCAATCTGCCGTGGACCAGGCGACCCAACATGTCCAGGCAACGGCTTTTGGCTTCAGGACTCGCCGCCGCGGACTCCCTCACATAGAGCGAGCTGTGTTGGAAGGACTTCAGCTGGTTAAACAGGACCACGGACCGGAAAGAGGCACTCTTGAACAGCGAGCGTTGCATTTTTGCTACCGAAGGGAACCGACTAAATCTTTTTTTTAATTGGCTTTTACGTGTTTTATGGTTTGTTTTTTTGTTCAATTTTACAGTGAGTATGTTATGGTATTTGGGTTTTCGCGTAGTTTTACGTTTTTTATTGCTTTTTCTTTTATATTTTTGTTTTAAAATATCACGGGGTTAATTTCTTCGATGGTTATGAGAATTTTGTTCTATTTAACAGAGAATTTGAGATGCGGAAATTTGGAATTTTGGTAAACTTGATTTTGTTCGAAAATAAAAAGAAAAAACTATGGAGCTCAAAAAGTTGTTAGTTGTCACGGCAGGGGCTAACGACTGAGGATCTGGGCTATCGAGAGAGGCCCCAAAATGTTCAGCCAGCTGAGTTCTAAGGCAACGCCTACTGGAATGTCCAACAGCCTGCTGCCTTTCCATAATCCCATAAAACAATTGACTTTCTAACCGTTTTGCAAATAATAATAAAAATAACATAAAAAAGGGCGCAAAAAATGGGCATTTTCGGTGGAAAAAATCGCCAGTTTAACAGGGACAGGGAGAAAAAAAAGGATTTGCTGGGGTTACGATTCGCGCGAAATTGCATCTTTTATGACGCAGGGTTAGGGCTAGGGTTACGTGCTATATAATAACCCTAGCCCTAAAGCCCTGGCCCGGCTACCTGACACGCCCCCCGCCCCCTGGCTAATTATGTCATTTGGCGTAAGTCAAGGCTGGAAAGTCAATTGCGGAAAATGGGTAAAAATGTGACACAAACGAGCCAAGAAAATGCCATAAAAATGGTTGGGTAAAAAAATCCATAAATTGACAAGGGGCAGGGGATTTGGCAACTGCAACGGAAAGTGCCATCCGAAAAACCCACATCATACAGGGTGTGGACTGTCACCGAGGCTCATGGATCAAGTCGCTAGAATAATTGAATTTTGGAAGTAAGCGAGTAAGGAATAGATTTATATAACTTAGCTCTCTAATGAGCTAATGAGCTCTTAAAATATAGTTAAAGGTGAGGAGTAAAATCAGTTTTCTTTATTTCTATTTTGTTTTTAAGCTGTGGTTTTGGGAGGCATAAGGGATGGAATAATGTTACTTTAAATCAAGTTTAAGATTTACATTTCTTAACATATCTCATCTAACGTACATCCAGAAAAGGCTAAGGATCTAACAAAACCCTAATTTACAGCTTAAGACAGCACAAACTTATTAACTGAAAAGGAAAATATCAGCTTAAAGTGTTAGTATTGGAATTATGTTAATTAATCTGAACATATTAGGTTGCCAAAAAAGTCTTGCGGTATTTTTATTGAATTTTCAATTGTTCATAAAATTGGTTATAATACTGCGATTCAAGTCAAATATGCGTCGTTTTGTTCGATGACGCGTTCCCAACGAGATGCCAACTTCATGATGCCCCTCTCATAGAAGCTCGCTTCCCTATTGGCAAAAAACGTGGCGGAGCGTGGCGCATCTTCGACCACCTCTACACCAGAACGAAAACGTTGATACCATCGTTGTGCGTTGGAAATGGAAACTGCATCGGGTCCATAAACTGCACTAATTTTATTGGCGGCTTGAGATGCATTTTTGCCTTTATCGTAGTAGTACTGTAAAATATACCGTATTTTCTCTTTATTTTGCTCCATGATTGCGACGTTATAACTTACGAACGATTAAAAAGAAAAGATAATCAATCAAGCACGGGTTAGCGCGTGAAATGAGCTTTCCAAAAAGGTATAGTATGACCTGATGCGACGAATAAAACAAGAACCACGCGCTTTCAGTGCCAACTAGCGAAAATACCGCAAGACTTTTTTGAAAACCTAATATTAACCTTCACTTTCTTTTTCTGTCGGTTTTTAACAAGAAATGTTAACCAGCCTATAACATCATTTTATTTTTATTCAAGTTCAATTTAAATATTGTTCAATCTGAACTTAATTCCATATTCATTTACGTTTTCTTAGTATAAAGATTTTTCCAAGTTTTTAACCTATTAAAATAGTAGAAAAATGTGATCTTCGCCTTGATTTCCCTTTGGTGGGATACTCATACTCTTTTCGTTAGTCTAAAAACTACCAGTAATCCCCATTCTAAAGTACCAAAAATTCGCCAAAATATATATTTGAGGTTGCCGGCATTCCAGCCCGACCTTTAACCCCTGCCTGCCCACTTTCTCCGCCAACATGCTGTCGTCAGTGTCCAGGACAATTTGCCTGCAATATTGCGTTGACAGCCACGAGAAATAATAGCCCAACAATTTATACAATTTATGAGTTTGTATGCCACATCAGGGTGGCAGAGGAGCAGGAGCAGGGTCAGGGGGTGTGTGTGGGCCATGGCAAGGGTTACCAAAAAAATGTGTGTAGCATACTTAAGCGGGCCAGGCAACGGTGGGTGGGTGGTTGGCGAATCGAATGGCACATTCAGAGCAAAAAAGAAAGCAACGAACGAAATCACAGTCGAAAATCATAAATTCGGCATGTCTAATGACAATTTGCAGCTCCACATGAAGGGTAAAATAAAACGTGGAGAGACTTTTTTTTTATCGTTTTTGATTTTTTGATGTTGCGCCCTTTTATGGCAGCGCATAAAAGTCGTTTGTTGTTCGGTCTAAGGTTTTCCGGATTCGGGAGACCGGGTTCTCATAACATGGCGACGCCATGGACCGCAGACCAATTTGGAAATGACGCAAAACCCCTCCCAAGCCTCCCCCCTGCCAGCCTGGTTTCTTTATGATCGCTACAAAATTGTTTATTGACGAAAATTAAACGGAAAATGGGCAAATGGGGAGGGATTTAAATAAAATATAAATAAATATACAAAAATTAAAACTAAATATGGTATAAGAAACTATATATATTCCTTATATAGAAGTAGGATTTTGCAATTTTGAACGAACTAAAAGAGACTTCTTAGCCATAAAATGTAGCCTTAAAAAATATTCTGAATTAAATACCAGCAGCTGGCTGAGGTCCTTTTTGGGACATTTATGAGGCCAACGGCTGGTCGATGCCAGACGCATCCGCAGTATAAATCAAACCCATCCGAGGATCCCTCAAACATCCCATTGAGATCCCATTGTGGACTCGAACTGTTACCGAAACTGGAACTGGAGATGGGCCATCCATGTGGCCATAACTCATCCGGCGAAGTTGTTGGCCACCGAAAATGAAGCAATCAGGGCCGAGAAAATGGTAGCAGCCCTGGGTAATTGTTGTTTGGTATTTGGCCGATGATGTCACCGCACACAAAGTACGAGAGAGAGAGAGGCCGGCATTGTCATTTCCACTTCCTGGCCAGCCCATTGTCTCCTTCGAGATTTTACGATTGTTTACTGGCTGCTTCTGTGCTCTGACTTTTGGCTTCCATCAAACGGCTAAGGCTAACAAAGCCCCCCAGTTTGTGTTCCTAACCCAAGTCCAAAATCAAAATCAAAATCAAACTCAAACCAAAAACCGAAAACCGAACCGAACCCATTGTGGCCAAGGCACTTTGGGCCATTCAGCAGCTCGTGGGTGTTCCGATTTTCAGACCCCCTTCTTGGCTCATTTAAGTCCCGATAAATACGCATTTGATTTGGGTCCTGTTAAGGGCGGGGGGGACAGCAGATAATAGAATTCGAATCGAATCGGTTCAGCTTATTAAATCAACCCTTTTTGGCCGAGTCCCTTGTTTACCCAAACTATTAGCTGCAAGCTGGCGGGGATTTGCGGCCACTGGCCATTGAAAGTTTGACCCGTGCGGAAGGGGTTAACAAAATCAGCTAGCGAAAACAATACAAGATTGTATTTGAGGTCACGACAGTACAAATACCCTCTCTCTCTAGATGTTTACTAAAACAAAGACAGAAAGTCTTTGATAAAATTTCAGTTTTTAACCAAAAAGAAAAAGTACCTTAAAGACTTCTGCTTTATGGTTACGATACCAGCCTTTATCCTTTGACTTTTTAACTTCAAGATTGATTAAAAAGTTGTTTGTTAAGTACTAACCTTGGCCAGAAAAACAAGTAAGCCAACTCTGGGGCAGGGTATCACTTGAAAGAGTGACATAAAAATAAGCATAAAACTAAATGTGCCACATTGAGGAATGGACAAGGAGTTGGACCCAAGGGGTTAAGGCCGGGTCAGTGTGAGGCGTTTAAGTTGATTTCGTTTTGAATGTTTATTTTATTGCGTGGAAAATGACGCCAACGTGGCCAAGAAATGGTGACTGCTCTCCGGCTTCTGTTTATCCCATTTTGACCATTTTTAGCATTTTACCATTTTGGCCATGGCTAGGTGGACCTGGGACTTGGCTGCGACTTGGCTCCAGTCGCTTTTATGGCCGGCGATTGTATCGCAAATTTCGTACGCAATAAAATTCAAATATACTTGCGATAAAAATCAAATCTTGTTGGACATTCGAGGCCCCATTCCACCGATTTGGCGACCCAATTGGGGGTATCCCATTGCGGCTGTTATGCGTTTCAATTTTCCCTTACTGCCGGCGATTCGGTTTTATTGGGTCTCCATCTGGGCGCAAATAGATTGAATTAACTGCGTATGAGATAATGGTAAAGGAGTCGGACTAGCTGGAAAAAACAGTCATAATCCAGGCCACCTGATCTGGAGAAATCTTATCCTTATGTTCTTTAGGAAGTTTAATTTCTATTCTATGATAATTCTAATTAGTTTTTACTATAATAAATCCATAAAATAAATCTCTTAATAAAGTGAGGTTTATAGATTAACGATCTAATAAGGATTGCGAAGGGTAAAATGCATTTTAATTTCGTATTTCAACAGCCTTCTCAAAAACCAAAGCAAAACCCTGACAAGATGTTTTTCCTTGTCAGATGAAAAAGTTGAGAAATCAATTTTACCGACTTGGTGACAATTTGAAAAGGACCGACACTGTCCGTAATTTTCCAGGAAAGTGACCAACTGCGGTTAGTGATAGGCCCTCAGTTTGGTTTCAGTTTCAGTTTCAGTTCCAGGCCGAGTATTCGTTTTCGGTTTCTTGGTTCTTGGTCTCGATTTCGATTGCGATTTCGGGCTCGACTTGGTCTTGGACTTGGAGGATGCAGTTACTAATGAAGTGCTTGCTGGTGTACACCAGTCGTATCCGTATCTGTAGCTGGGCCCCCGGGGCGTTGTCGGATGCATTTGGCAAATAAAACACCTACCGACAAGCCAGATACGCCAGATATATGCCAGATAGGAGAAGGCCCAGCGTGCCGTCCACACAAAAGGACAACCGACTCGACTGCAACTGCTGCCAAGGATGGATATGAAAGGGATGGTCAGGATGGGCCCAAACAGTAGGAGCCCATGGAAGGACCATACAGAGAGAGAGA